CAACGACCACAAAGATGTAATCCACCATGCAGTATTTTGTCTTTGCCTGCGTATAACCCAACTTTGTGCTTCTTTCAGGTATTCTCTGACAGAAGGAGGTCTGACTTTGGCCGAGCGACTGGCATCCGCAGAGCAGACGAACACAGACGGGGACAGAGAGGCGGTTAGGAGTGAGTTAGAGGCGACTGAGGAAGACGATGCCGTCGTAGTCCTCACTGGTAGTGATGAAGATGAAGAAGAGAAGGAGGAGAACAGAATACAGTGAGTGGAAACTAAAAGATTGAATCCTCATCTCCTTATTTTTTTCCTGTTTTATTTCCCTCTTGGAATAAAGCATTCCTCTTCTTTTCACAGCCCTGCAGAGAGACAACCCACCGTCACTGAGGTTAGCTGCGACGTGGACGACGTGCGTTCATCGGGGAAACCACAGGATTCACAGACGACGATGACGACAAGCAGAAAGCCGAACGCAGAATGTCTCCTACCCGGAACGTATGAAATTATGCTCTGTGTTGACTTCATCGAGACCACTGGGTAAGAGATCTGCCTTCTAACATGTAAGAAACACGCTACTGATGTTACTGATGAATTTAAATATATTAAAAGCCGTGCACGTATAAAAATGTGTATTAATATCAGCAGTATTTATCACAGTCATTCACATTTACTGACCTAACTGTTGTTACTGTGTTCTCATGCAATAACTGCTCTTACAACCATGTTGTGCTCCATTCAGTCCTCGAGGTTTCTTCCTGTTAAAAGGGAGTTCTTCTTCCCACTGTCGCCATGTGGTTTCTCATAGGGGATCTTCTGATTGTTGGGTTTTCACCGTATTATTGTAGGATCTTTATCTTACCATGTGAAGCACCTCAATAAATATAATTGAATTGTGTATGTATTTATTTGTTATGTAGTGGGAGTCACCATCGTAAGCAGGAGCTGGTGAAAGAGCTTCAGAGAAATGGAGTCAACTTTGACATCAGGAAACTAAACGTCGGGGACTTCCTGTGGGTGGCTCGGGAAAAGGTGGCACCTGTTGCAGGTAACACATACAGGAGGAGAGAGTGGGAGTGTTGATGTTTGATGGGAGGGATCCCGCGCCACGCCTGTTTAACGTACAGGGAGGATTGTTCTGTCTCAGGTCAGTTGCGAGCGCCTGTAGGCAGGGAGCTGGTCCTTGACTACATAGTGGAGAGGAAGAGGATGGACGACCTGTGCGGCAGCATCATCGACGGACGCTTCAGGGAACAGAAGGTCGGTGTGCAGCCCGGTTTTGTCCAATACAGTTATTAATCGGTGAGGTGGCACGCCGCCTTCAAAATTACAGGTGATGATTTGTGCTTTTTACAAGCAAGATGAACCCAAACTGAGTTCAATTTATATGAGTATGAACTGGAAAACATAAAGTAGTGACGACATCAGAACCCGGTGCTTGTTCCTCGTCTCGCGTCGGCCTGCAGCACCTCCTGCTTTTGTTCATTTGTCTGTTTTCTTCCCTCCGTCAGTTCCGACTGAAGAGGTGCGGTCTTCATAAGCCCATCTATTTAGTGGAGGAGTGTGGATCAGCTGCGTCTCACCTGAGCTTACCTGAAACTACACTGCAGCAGGCCATAGTCAACACACAGGTAGAGTGCACACGTGGGGCCACATGGGTCACTCTCAAACTGAAACAAATGTTGTGGTGTCCTGCTGGACGCAGCCATCAGAAGATGGTGCGCTGTGGCACCTGTGTAGCATCTCTACCATGCTAAGGAGCCGATATTGTGCCAAGAAAATATCCCCACACCCTTACATCATCAGCCCGAAACTTTGGCGAGAACGATCCATGCTTTCCTGTTGTTTACTTTAAATTTTTATCTTTCCATCAGAAAGTTGCAGCAGAA